CAGAGGGAGAAGCAGACTCCCTGCTGAGCAGGGAGACCGATGCGGGACTCGATCCCGGGACTCCAGGATCATGACCTGAGCCGAAGGCAGTCGCTTAACCAACTGAGCCACCAGGCGCCCCTTAGCCCAAAAATTTTAATATAATTGTATATTATATGAGGTATGTATATAAAAACATGGTATATATTATATGATGTGTGGCATATACACACATAAACACTGGTCAGTTCATATGACTGTAAAGCCAATAGATTGGCTAGCTTCAGGCTTGACTGGGTCCAGGAGCCCAAAAAGATGACCCTGTCAGGCCCAAACCTATATTATGACTCTCACACCTTCCCCTCTCCTCCCCAGAGATGCTGTCCAATCATTTATGTATTAAATTGTAAGAAAGTCCCTGATTTCCTTGGATCATATGCCTATCCTTGAACGAATCACTATTTTGGATGCAGGGTTGTATTTGACTATGATGGAAATAGTCTGGCCAATTTGAGTCCGATTCATATAGTGGGAATGTACTGTGAATGGTACTTCCATCAGTATCACATGGAGAAGGGGTAGGATAGAGTTCTCAAAAGAATTTAAAAAAAACAACAGGGTGTTCAGAACAAGGGTTTCTGGGTCTTATACAAGAGATGTCTACTTGATTTTATTTATTTGTTTATTTTAAAAGATTTTATTTATTTGAGAGAGACAGAGATAGCAAAAGAGTATGAAAGTGGAGGAGAGCGGGAGAAGCAGGCTCCCTGACATGGGGCTTGATCCCAGGACCCTGGGATCATGACCTGAGCCACCCAGGTCCCCTACTTGATCATTTTTTAAAGGTCACTTTGAAATGAATATCTAAGTTGGAGAATAAAAACGTTAATGCAGTTGAATTCAGTCATTATTCACTGAATAAAGGTGTTAGGTCAGTCTCTCCCCCATCTCACTTGATTTTCAAACAACCTTAGCAATACATTGACATTTAGGTTTATTTTCACTATACAACAGAAGGAATCTTTAGGAAACTGGAACGTTTAATTATTGCATTGTTAGATTATTTTATCATGGGGGCTATATTTTTATTGTGGGACCATATGTGTATGGTCAAAGATTAGCATCCTCATTTAATTCATGAAAGAATTAAAAATGGAATAAAAGCATGACTGTGAATATGTATTATCTAATTACGCTTACTTTTAAAGAAACTTAATGGAATTACTAGTGAAAACCATACCTTTCTAGGATGAATATTGTTTTACCTCTGGTTATTCTTGTCCTGAAGTAGGCAGATCCTGTGACGAGTGCTCATTCCTCCTGCCAAAATTACACAGTGGAAATCATTTCAGCATATTGTAATGCAAGGAGTAGTACTTTTGAAAGTTTGAAGTAGAGAAGAAAAATCACTATGAGTAGAAAGCACCAAGATCATACCTATGTTTATTTTAGTTGAGGGTCCAGAAAATAAAATTTCTAAGGCCCTCACCTGTTCATTCTTTTAAGATATTATATTTGAGAAGTCCAAGCTTACAACTGGATACATGAGGGATTTAGTTATTTCACATTTTGTATGTCCTGACTTTGCAAAAAAACTAATGTTTTAACAAAAGATGAAGCCCTGAACTGCATGCAAATTAGCTGGGAGTTAGGAATACCTGTCTCCCCCCCCCCCAAAAAAGGTAAGACATACATATGCTGTAGAGAAACAAAGCAATTAGGACTTTTAAGAGAATAATACTAACTTCCAGTTTCACTTTTACCACAGGAATAAAGATTAACAGAATATATTTGTAGGAACAACAATGTATATTCTTATACCAAAATAATGTCAAAAGCTTTGATGGAAGTATGTCTACATTTATACCTAAATTCATTACACAAAGGCTTCGTAGACATTAATATATTAATTTGGCCAGTAGGTATTCTGGATGCTTCTCTGAGTGGCCTCATAAAAATAAGTGATAAACTTAGCGTTGCTGCATTACAGCCTCTGTGTATGTTTGTGTGTGTGCACGCGTGTGCCTGTGTTCCCGTGCACATGAATTTTAATTCGTTCTCACTGGGTTGTTGGTTTACACTTACATTGTTTCCTCTTTTATTGAAATAACCCTTACTTGACCAGTAGAATGGAAGGAAACACATTTTGATTCTACAAAACTACAGTGTTTTTATATGAAGTGTTTTAACATGTCCTAAGTGAACCTGTAAGGCACAACTTTAACTTTGGCCCTAAGTGTATTGAAGATGTAGTAGCCTCTGTTCTGCTTCAAAATAAACATAAGAATTGTGTAGTCTGTCTGGGTTATGCCTTTAAGCAAGTCAGTTAATAGTTTTATGTCTGAAGAGTAAGAATTATCATAACTTTGTATCTCAAAGTGCTTTTGAAAACTATAGCCAATCTAAAACTGTCAGTACGGTATGTTCTGGCATTGTCAGCTGACTGGCCAGAAGAAGGTTAAACTATCCCCATTCTCTGGGCAGAGCTTACTCTGTAAACGACTTCCGCTTTCCTTTTTCCCAGAAAGTTCGACATTTGTAATCTTCTTTTTTTTTTTTTTTT